TAGAATAATAATTTAGAAATATTACTTTTTTCAACCCCTATATTTTGTGAAATAACCTCTTTCTGTTCATTTTTGACTGAGTGTCCTGGGCGCCACCAAATACCCTTTTGGGTCATTGAGTAATTTTCGGAAGGCGCCATCTCACTGGAAATTTTTTTCTGGGCCACGGGGAAGCATTAACTTCATATGAGGGCAGGCTTTCGTTTGGTTTTGTTTCATCCATTCATCTTGCAGGGGAATATTCATGCTTTCCACAAGAGAGGTAGCTATTTACTTACTGTATCGCTTTTTTTTTTTTTTTTTTTTTTTTTTTGAGGCAAGTTCTCGCTCTGTCGCCCGGGCTGGAGTGCAGTGGCACGATCACAGCTCACTGCAGCTTCAACCTCCCACCCCAGCCTCCTGAGTAGCTGGAATTACAGGTAAGCACCACTAGACCAGCTAATTTTTAGTATGTTTTTTGGTAGAGATCAGGTTTCTCCGTGTTGCCCAGGCTCATCTTGAACTCCTGGGCTCAAGAGGCCTCCCAAAGTGCTGGGATTATGTATTACACTTTAAAATAATATTTAAAGGTCTGTTTACAATACCATTGATTAAAGCCTAATAGAGGAAATGTAAGATAATCTTTATTTTTGAGGGAATTAGTTTTAAATCTTGCTTTATATTAACTTATGCACAGTAAATGTCTATCAATACGGGTTTCCCTTAATCAGTTATGACACAGCCATACAGTCGAGTGCTATATAACCTTTAAAACGATCAAGAGATCTTGAGCACAGAAAGATACCTGCAGTGTATTTCTGAATGAAAACAGCAAACTGCAGAACAATATATACAGTATAATTCTATTTTTCAAAACATACATACATATATGTGTATATATACATATATGTGTTAATATTCACAGAAAATGATATAGATTAAAATATATCATATTACTAATAGTTACTGAGACTGATAGGATTGAGAAAGCTTTCACTTTTTCTTTCTATGTATCTATTGTCCTAAAATTTTCTTATAAATGAGTATAGATTCCTTTTACAATTATAAAAAAGGTTAAAATTAAATATAAATGTATTGTGCCAATCCTAAAATTACCAACCATAAGTTGCTCATCAGATTTATATGATAGACTTCATGATGCTTAATATTTGTGGATAAATTATCATTTCTGCTGTATTGATAATGCCACTTCATAAATAAACAGGAAATCAAGTGGATTTCCACAATCCGAAGTAGACCCTCTCTATAAATTAAAGGAGCCTGAAGACCCTGGCATGATTCTCAGAGAACAAATGTTTCCAATGTAACCCCCCGAACTGATCCATGAGGACATGCCAACCTCAGGGCTTAGAAGCTCTTGCAGGGGCCTCCTGGGATTGTAACTAAAACCGCTGTTACATTCTCTTTTAATGAGCCCACAGGCACACCAGAGATCCCTGCTGCATTCGTCAGGATGTGCTAGGGGACAGGCTCGCTATGGACAACCAGTCCCCCACTGAGAGCTAGAAAGCTGGGTATGTGAGACACCCAGGAGCTCTCAAGGCAGGTGGACTTGAACAGGCGGGGCCAGGACCCCAGAGTGAAGGGAGACCCCATGGGCTAATCATGACATTCTACGCTTCTTTCCTTCCCCGGGTGTCTGTTGATCCATAAATGACTTGGACAGAGGGCCAAGAAGCTCACCAGACAATAGCCCCTAAGAGACGGAGAAACTGAGCCATTTCAGCCATCCCATGGGGCTAGATGCCAAGCATTGGAATTCAGATCTATTTAGGAAGCCAGGATTTATAGGGATCAGGAGACAACGGGATCCCAGAGAGAAAAGAAGATGCCCAGAGAAGTCAATTCGACACACTGGGCCGCTGTTGATTGCAAGGTATTCAGTGGTTTCAAAGTGGCACAGGCCACGAGGAGGGAGGTGGGGAGGCAGAGGCAGTATCTGAAGAGATACCGGCTGGGAATTTTCTAACTTGACAAAAGACATCAAGACACATATTCAAGAAGCACTTAGAACCCCAAGCAGAAGCATTATAAACACACACACACACACACACACACACACACACGCACACACGCACACACACAGTCTCCCTGGTACGTCGTAATAAACCTGCTGAAAAGCAAAGACAGAAAGAAAATATCAAAAGCAACAACAACAACAAAAACACATTAGCTTCACAGGATCAAGAATTCAAATGACAGCTGATTCTCAACACAAACGTGGAATGGAATGACATCTTTAAAATTCCAAAAGAAACTAAAAATTGACTAGAAAACTAAAATATCCTTCAAAAGCAAGATGAATAGACCCAACAGAAAAGCAAGCATTTGTTCACCAAGAGATATGCACAAGAGTGTTCATGGCAATGTTAAATACTGTTATACTAATGTCAGACACCGGAAACAGACCGGGCACTGTGGCTCACGCCTGGAATCCCAGCACTATGGGAGGCGAAGGCAGGTGGATCACTTGAGGCCAGGAGTTCGAGACCAGCCTGGCCAACATGGTGAAACCCTGTCTCTACAAAAAATACGAAAATTAGCCAGGCACGGTGGCATGTGCCTGTAGTCCCAGCTACTCGGGAGGCTGGGGCAGAAGAATTGTTTGAACCCAAGAGGCGGAGGTTGTGATGAGCTGAGATCACACCATTGCACTCCAGCAGCCTGGGCAACAGAGCGAGACTCCGTCAAAAAACTAAAAAGAAAAATAAATAAATAAAAACACCAACAAAACAAACCAACCTGGAAACAGCTCAACACCCATCAGCATTAGAAGAGATAAACTGTGGTAAGATTTGTAACGCTGAATGTCACACAGCCATGAGAATGAATGAACTAGGACTATATCTAACAGCCTGGAAGAATCTTTTTCAGACACTGAATGAAGGCGGCAGAGACAAAAACAACAAGCTAACTTTCGGTGTCAGAAACCAGGGCAGTGCTTACCTTAGGAGCAGTAGTGATGAGAAGGGGCTTGGGAGGCAGCAGGCGGGAGGGGGAAGGGGGAGGTTCTGGGGAACTGGTAACGTTCTGTTTCTTGATGTGGGATCTGGTTGCACGGCTATGCTCACTTAGTGAAAATGTATCAAGCTGTGCATTTCTAATGTATGTGATTTTCTGTATGTATGCTCGATTTTAATAAATAATTTACATATAACATGGAAGCTAAACTCTAATTTTTACAAGACAAATTCTAGAGAAAGAGCTAATATTTAGTGCCAAATGCACAGTAGGTGGTGAATAATTTTTTTAAAGCACAGAGAACCCTCAGATGTAAGATTATAGATTCCCGGCTTTCCCGGCGTGCCCGGGTTTCTCTAAGCATTGACTCACATCTTTACTTAGTATACCTGAAGTTTTTTCTAATTACAAGAGGGAATACGTAATTATTATAAAAAATTTAGAAAAATACATAAAAAGTAAGGAAGAAAAATATAAAATACCCACGACCCCACGACTTCGAGTTTATATAAAGTGTTTTTATTTCTCATCATCTTTTTGCACACTTTTACACTAATGTTTTGTAAGTGTGCGTTTTTACCTTATTCATTTAGCAGCATGCAATAAACACTTTTCTTTGTTATAATAAAGTAAAGAAATAAAAGCGAGGGTAAGATAAAGACATTTCCAGACTTCCCCTTGAAAAAAAAAAAAGAAAGAATTCATTGCCAACAATTCACACGAAAATATAGGGTAAAGAGGAGATTTTTAAGCGAAGGAGTATAATCCCAGATGGAAACCAAAAAAATGAGGCAATAAAGAAAATCCCTGGAAAAGGTAAACATTTGGGCAAAAGTAAATGAATTTTGACGACGTAAAACAAAATGAATAGAAAATAAAAATTCAGGTTAAAACATATAAAGGCTTAAATGACAAGGAAACAATAGCGTTAAAAGGCAGGAGGGGTAAATAGTGTAAAAGCTTTCCAAAGTTCCGGCCTTGTCAGGGAAGTGGTAAAAGTTTTGCTCTATATTAATCTTCAGTAAATCAAGGATGCATGCTATAACCTCAAGTAGAATCAGCACTGCAAGAATAGTAAAAGACAGTTTCACTAACAAGCTAACGATGGAGGAAATGAAACTCATTTCATCAAAAAAAAAAAGGCAAGAAAGGAAAGAAAAAAATGAACATAGAATAGATGGGATAAATATAAAACCCACAGTAAGATGGTAGGTTTAAACCCAAACAAATCAGTTACTGGATTAAATGTTCAACTAACGTGCCAACGTTTATTAAACAATATATAACAAGTGTTCAAGGTTGGACTAATATGGTGAAAATTGGACTGAATACTCCACTTCAAAGACGAAGATTTTCAGACTTGATATTTTAAAATCAAACTATATGCTCCTTATGATATCACAGAAATGCTGAAAGTCGAAGGATGAAAAACAGCCAGGTTTATTTCTGGCTCCTGTAAGGGGCACCAGGTGCTAGGTGACCTCTGGGGCATGACTGGGCCTCCACGGCCTTGGTGAGTCTCATGCAAGCATTCAATGCTCCCTGGAGGACGTGGCCAGCATTTCTCTACTCACATTTCAACACCAAAGCACACCACACGGCCGCCACCCCCTCCAGGGACTGAGGAGCACAGCACCCCATGCACAAAGTCAGCCCAATGCCACACGGTCCCTGCAGGTGGCCAGCCCGGCGGGAGAGCCCAAGTGTGGGCTGTGGCTTTCACTTTTGGCCATGGTCAAAGACTTCACCTCAGCCGGTCTCCAGCAGATGTCCCCTCCAGGTCATAACACTAAGGGCAGCTGGGCACGGTGGCTCACGCCTGTAATCCCAGCACTTTGGGAGGCTGAGGCAGGAGGATCACTTGAGATCAGTAGTTTGAGACAAGCCTGGGCAACAGAGCAAAGCTCAGTCTCTACAAAAAATACAAAAATTAGCCAGACGTGGTGGCACACGCCTGTAGTCCCAGCTACTCGGGAGGCTGAGGCGGGAGGATCATTTGAGCCCAGGAGGTGGAGGTTGAAGTGAGCTGAGATTGCTCCACTGCATTCCAGCCTGGGCGATAGAGCCAGACCCTGTCTCAAAAAACAAACAAACAAAACAAAACAACAACAACAACAAAACGGGTCAAGCACATATATGGACAGCTGGAACCCATCTCGCCCACACGTGCCCTCCTGCCAGGTGGTCATAGGCCTCACTGGGTCCAATTTTGTCCAGGTCACCAGTGGTTTCAGATTTGGACGAGAAGATAATGGCTTCACCTTGGACGCTCCGGGCTGATGCACTTGGGGAAGATTCTGTGAGCTTTAGGACTTTGCGAAGAGTCGGCATCCAGTAGGCAGTAAGGTGCACCTGCCAGGAGCTCAGGGGGAGCCTTGCCCTAGAGATACAGGTGCAGACGGGCCCCAGTTATCTTTTGCTGCACAAATAACAGCCCCTAACTTAGTGGTGTCAAATGGCCATTTTATGAGGCACATCTGTGGGTCATGAATTTGGAAGAAACCACCCACAGCGTGGATGGTTTGTGTCCGTGCTGTGGCATCTGGGACCTCAGGAGGGAAGAGGTCTTGGGCTGGGAGTGTGTGAGTGTGGGACCCAATCCCCATCCTGACCTGAGAAATGGTGTGGCCTCAATACTGATGAGCTGCCAGAGGGAAATGAAGTGCCCAGCCACTTCCCTGGAGGCACACGCCTCCCCTAAGCTCTCTCCACACCAAATGTGGGCCTCGAGAGGGGGTTCCCAGGCCCCCAAGGCCCATGCTCTGTCGCCCTCTGGAGACACCCCAGCCCCCGCTGCTCCTCCACTCACACTCACACACACACCCTCACACACATATTCACACACCTTGCACACACACACTCACACAGACTCTTCCGAACAGGCGAGATGGTGCCTCTTGCTCAGACACAAGACCCCTTTCTGGACCAAAGGACAAACAGTGAAGCAAGGGCTAGAGGCCTCCTCATCCCGTTGTTGTTTTGATTGGCGGCCCTGGATTCTTCAGGCAGTGGAGAGGGAGGAGGTGCTGATGAAATCTCACAGGGAAGCTGATGAGAAGCAGCAGCCAAGAACTGCCCACTCGTGGGAGCAGCCTGCTTCTTCCCACCTCTGCCAGGAGGGTGTGGTCACTGGAATTCCCCAGCTGGAGAAAGGAGGTCGCGGGAAGGTCACCCCTCCCAGCGGAGGGAGGAGAGTGCTCTGTGCCCTGTGCTCAGGAGAGGTTGGGGCCGCACCCACCTGGCGTTGCCACACCTCTGGCCTCTGTGCTCCCAGTCCCTTCATCAGTGCAAGCCTCGGTTCCTGCCTCTGTCAAATGGGCATTTTATTATCATAAAGCTTCCCAGGTCATTTTTGGAGAATCCCATGGCGGCCCTCATGAAAGCACCCCGTACACTGTTAATGCAGGTACTGTAAAATACTATCATTAAAAATCATATTTTCTGGCCAGGTACAGTGGCTCAAACCTGTAATCCCAGCACTTTGGGAGGCCAAGGCAGGCGGATCACCTGAAGTCAGGAGTTCAAGACCAGCCTGGACAACACGGTGAAACGCTGTCTCTACTAAAAATACAAAAATTAGTCAGGCAAGGTGGTGGGCGCCTGTAATCCCAGCTACTCAGGAGGCTTAGGCACAAGAATTGCTTGAATTCGAGAGGCAGAGGTCGCAGTGAGTCGAGATGACACCACTGCACTCCAGCCTGGACAACAGAGGGAGACTCTGCCTCAAAAAAATAAATAAATAAAAATCCTATTTTTTGTTAGTGGAGGGGGCAGAGGACAGATTCTGGGAACTATATGTGCACTCAGGACCTCTTCCAGCATTGCATGGAAATGATCTCTGGGGCCTAAGGAAGCAAGAGGAGGGCCATAAAGGGTGCCCTGGAGCCAGGAAAGGGCATGGAGGTAGTGTGGCCTGTTAGGCAAGTGGCATCACGATTTCTGCCAGGCCCTGCCCCAGCACCCTGCAGAGCCAGGGTTCTTCCTCTCCTGGCTTGCCCCAAATGGTTTCCAGAAAAGGCACTGTTGCCATGGGAACACTTGTCCAATTATTCTACTTCGCAGAAAATCACTTTTCAGCCAACTTGGCTAGAACACATCCCTTCTACCAAGCAAAAATTGCGTCTTGGTGTTTGACCTCACCCATGACCAAATATTTGAGTGGAAAAGTGGCCAGGGGACTCAGGCCACAAGAGAGATGGTCATCCAGCTGGAGATGGCAGGAGAGCCCCAAGCCCTGTAATAAACCGCAGGTTTATTACAATGTCTGCAAGTGGACAGAGTAGGAGCCTCCTTGGGGGACGAAGGGACAGCAGGAGTGGGGAAGGATTGAGGTTGTTCGATTCCACTCAGCCAGTAGCCCTGAAGACCAAGCTCTGCTAGACGATAGGAAAGCAGGATGCTTCCAGCACAGCTGTCTGCCTCCATGGGGGGCTCAGAGTCCAAAGGCGAGTGGATGCTGGTGAGCAGATTGACAATAAGTGACAAGGACAAAGAAGAATATGTTCTAGGTAGTAAGAAGTAGCTTAACGGAGGCGAGAGAATGGAGGAGGGTAACTTGGAGGCTGGGTTTTGACGTATGAATAGGAGTTTGCCAAGCAGACAAAGGGTGAGGGAGGGTGCTCTGGGCAGAGGAAACACAAGTAAGGAAAGGAGTCATGGAACAACAAAGTACATTATGAGAACAACAGGTTGTTGAGTCGTGTCCCGGTGTAAAACACCAAGGGGAGAGGCAGGATCATCAGATTGGAAGCTGAGTGTGCCCTGCAGAGTCCAGTGTTTGGCCTGTGTGCAGCGGGAAGAACCCCCATCAGACTGGCATTTGACAAAGGCAGGCAGGACAGAGAGCAGGAAGGAAGGGCAGAAGACCAGCCAGGAGGCAAGAGGCAAAGAAGCCTGAACCAGTGCCAGTGTCAGGCAAAAGGAGCAAGAAGAGAGGATCAGCAGGCCTGGGTCTTGGGGGATGGAGGGCCAGGGCCAGGAATGAGGAGAAGGCCCTGCCAGTTCTCAGCCTCAGGAGACAAAGTTTAGAGATGGCTTAAACCAAATGGGGGACAGAGGAAGGCTTGGTCTGGAGGGTGGAAATGGGGCAGATTGAGTCACTCTGAGGAGGAGGGGCCCAGGAAGCATCGAGGAGGTCGGCAGTGTCAAGCACTATTGAGCCAGATTGCCTGAGTTCCAACCCCAGCACTGCAGAATACTAGCTGTGTGGCCTTAGGCAAATTACTGAACCTCTCTGAGGCTGTTTCGTCTTCTGTAAAATAGCCCCCACCTCACTGGGCCCTTATGAGGATTCACTGAGGTCCATGAGAAAGGCATGTAGCCCAGGATGGGAGTTGATATGGGCTCTTAAGGCCCAGACTCCCTGGCTCCCTGGCCAGGGTCCTCCTGCAGCCTCCACGGCATAGGGTCCCTGTGAGGCTCAGCAAAATGTGTTGCATGCAGGGCCGCCCCTTGCCAGGCCCATTAGCCTACCTGGTGCCCTCCAGGGTGAAGACCACCTTGTCCGGCTGCTTCTCCTCCCCATAACTCACCCGGCCATGCTAGGCTCAGCAAAGCGAAGATACATTTTCACAAGCAAGGAAGACCCCACTTGCACCTAGAAATGTATGGAATGCTGTATCACATGGAAAATGGCAACGCCTGCAATTCCAGGCTCCCTCCAGCTCCCCACTGAACGCGCATCCTCCAGGGACATCCCAGAGGCAGAAGAGGTGGGAAGAAGGGGCCGGGTTCCCCCGTGCCTGAGTCCCTGCTGTGGATTAGGGATGCCCCTCTAAGTTCAGATTGGCAGCTGTCTATTCAACCATGTCTACCCTGCTTCCCTGGGGGTAGGAAGGACTCGTTCTCTTACACAACTTGTTCCACCTTTAGGAATCAGCGGACAGTGGGTCCTAGCAAGAAAATCCTCCCACCACTCAGATTAGAACAAAAGGTGCCTGCAATGGCCCCGCAGTGGTCTCCTCCTTCCTAGCGGCTTCTGGTGTGTGCAGAACCAACAGCATGATGAGGTCAAGGACCAAGCCAGGACCCGCTCAGCCCAGGAAGAGGGAAAGGCTTTCAAAAACTATGATTTGAACTCACTTAGTTGCTCTTCAGTGAAGTGCAAAGCCCTTGGTTCCCTGCACGCACACCAGCACACCCAGCCTGCGCGCTCCTCTCTGCTCCTCCTGAGACACTGGAGGCTGTATATACACGAGCACCCGGTCCTCCCTCACTCGTGTCATCTCGGGTGCTCCTGCGAGAGGCTCTCCCTGCCTGTGAGTTCCTAGTCTCCGGGGCCTGCCTTAATTACTTGGCATGTGTTGGTTGGACATTAATCCCGGGCTTGGTATTTGACCGACCTGGGTGACATTCGTTTTTGGGGAACAGAGGCGTTCTTCCAGCTTGTCTGCCCTGTGGACTTTGTGTGCAGGTGGGTGGCTGTGCTCAAAGGATGACCTGCTGGCACTTGGGATGGGACAGTCCAGTCTTCCACCTCCTGGCCGTGTCTTAGAGAAGTCTGAGGAGATGACTTCCCTGGACGATACGCACCTGTCCGCCAGATGTGCCGCCGGCCCTTCACCAGCAAAACCCCCGGCGGGTAGCTCTGGCTTGGAGAGCTTTTCACCAACCCCGAGCTCCGCAAAGATGCTCACCTGGCTCGAGCCACTTCCACCTTCCTCCTCCTGGGCCTAGCACAGTGCCAGGCATGTAGGAGATATGGGCAAATGTGTGTGAATTCATTCATTCATTCATCTCTAAGACGGTCTCAATTCTCCCTAGTGGCCAGCATTCCTCTGCAAGAGACTGGGAACCTGGCATGTATCTGTGTAAGAAAACCCTCCGCAGAGAGCTGGTAGGGCCATATGGCCCCCGAAGAACAAAACAGAATAAGCCGGTATGGGGGACTAGGCAGGGTCATGTCCAGGTGCCAGGGAGCATAAGTACCGGTAGGCAGCTCCACCAAGGCTGGCTGCTGATGGCAGAGAGCAGACTGGGGGAGTCCAGATGTAAAGGCCAAGGTGTGACCTTGACCCCCAAAGGAGTGGAGGAGAGACGGAGGCAGCTGGACCCTCCTACAGAGCAGTGGTCAGTGCCCAAGGAGCATGTGCATGGCACTCCCTCAGGATAGCTCCGCCCACCCTGCCACCCCTTCCCATCACTGCTCCCCACTCAGGAAGCAGAGCCTGGCATCCACAAGCCAGGAATTCCTAGACCCCCAGGGCGTCTGGGAACATCTCTATCTGCTAAGCCCCCCCACCCCCCACCGCTTCCCAGGACAAGGACCTCACTGCTAACTCTTGGGAACCTTCACTGTTGGCATCTGCTGGAGATGGCCCCTGGGACCTTCAGGGCCTCAGACAGCCACCCACACACCCACCCCAATTTCCCAGACCATGCAACGGTGTGCTTGAGAGGCATCTCAGAGCAGGGCATGATCGTGAGCTTGCGGGCTCCACAGACCCGGATTGGAAAATAGCACTTACTGTTGTGTGTCCTTGAACAAGCCGCCCTCCCAGGCCTGAGGTTTGCTCATCTATTCTGCGGAGGGGATGACACTGCCCCCGCCCCCAGAACTGCTGGGAAGGGGAGCCACTGGGTGACATGCAGACGGCACCTGAGACAGAGCTCTCCCCTCCTCTCCGCCGCCTCCCGCCCCATCCTGCTCCGTGAGTGGCGTGATCACATCTTCCGCACCCAAAACTGAAACACGTGGTTTGACAAAGGATTTCTGGGCTCTTGTTAGATACACAAGAGGGGTTGAAGGATTCCATCTGAACGTCAAAATGGCAGGAAATGCACATCCTGCAGGTGGAGCCGACTTTGAACACAGGACAGCTCTGGGACTCCAGACTGAGCCTCCTACACAGACACAAGGATTGGTCCTGCCTGACCCCAGATGTCCAAACTTCCCCCTCACCTGCTACCTCACCCATTACCCAGAGGCCTGGGCTGCAGGGTGCCCACCCCTGTCCTTGATGCAGCAACAAGGACTCGACGTCCCTGGCTCAGCATGGAGCTGGTGCCAAGAGCAGCCCACCAGGCAGAGGAAGAGAACTGAGTCCACCACTATCGGGGAGGGAAATGATGCAAATTGTAAAAGCATCAGACCCTCCCCCGCCCCAGCATCCCTGCAGGTGGAGACAGACCCCAAACAGGTGCCTGGGCTTCCACTACAAATCACCCTATTGAAAAAAAGGGGGAAAAGATATCCATAATGGAAAACCATGACTCAGTTTGGTGGGTTTGTTTGTTGTTTGAGGCAAAGCTCTCAGCTCTGTGGAACAATCCCAGGTTCCTTATAATTTAATCAAAAGGTGGGGCATTTGGTCCACCCTGAAGGGCCAGGCATCATTTTCTGGATGTCTGTTCAGTTGGAAGAAGAACGAATCTCTTCTTTTCTAAAACAATAAAAAGGTGGATAATTAGCGTGTAATGGTTAATGGGTAATTTTACAGGGGTGAGCTGAGTTCATAACATCATTCTGAATATATTTGCATTTAACTGAACTCCTTTTTTCTCTCTCTCTTCTGTGATTTTTTTTGTTGTCACTGTAATTATTTTAATTGAGTTCTTCCTCTAATGAAAACAAAGAACAATGTCTGTGGGAGGCTTCTGAGGTGGCTGTGAGCTCCGCGGTGCCTCCTCTCCCAAGTCAGCTCAGAGTCCCCAAGCCCCTCACTCAGCCTCTGGAGGCTTCTGCCCTCTCCACCTGCTCTCTCACTCAGCTCCACTGATGACAGGAACAGGCAGGGAGGCTGTGCGTATGCATGTGTGCCTGTGTGTGTGAGGGCATGTGTGTGCATGTGTGTGCGTGTGTCCATGTGTGTCCATGCGTGTGCATGCATATGCATGTGAGGGCGTGCATTCGTTCATGTGTGTGCATGTGTGTGAGCATGTTGTCTGCACATGTATATGCATGTGGGTATGCATGTGCTCATGTGTGTGCATGCATGTGTGTGCATGTGTGTGAGCGTGCATCCATGTGTGCATGTGTGTGTATATGCATGTGAGGTGTGCATGCATCCATGCATGTACATGTATATGCATGTGGGTGTGCATGTGTTCATGTGTGCATGCATGCATGTGTGTATGTGTGTGTATGTGTGCGTGCTTGTGCATGCTTTTGTGTGTGTATTTGCCTTCCTTCATTGAAGCCCACCTGTTCCAGGACAAAGTCTTGCTATGTTGTCCAGGCTGGACAGTGCAGTGGCTATTCACAGGCGTGATCACAGCTCACTGCAGCCTCAATCTCCTACCCTCAAGTGATCCTCCCGCCTCAGCCTCTGAGTAGCTGGGAGCACAGGTGCCCGCTACCACGCCAGCTTCAGTGCAGATGTGCAAAGGCACAAAGTGGACACTCAGGAAGCTCAGAGAGAGTCTGTGATTCCCAGGAAAGGCAGCTCAAAGCCAGCTCCTAGGGACAAGGTCAGCAAAGAGCGAGCTTCATGCATCACATGTCGACCACCTTGGCTTTGGGGTCCTAAATGTACCAAACAAAGGGAGGACAGGAAGACGTGCCTGCTCACAGAAGCCTCTGTCCCAGCACAGAGGGACAGCCCTCATTTCTTCAGCCCCCTGTCTCTCCACATGGTCACCAGGAGCATTGCCCAAGAAGGCCAGTCCCTGGGAAGGAACAGTAACCTTCCCAGAATGAAAGCCGAAGTCTAGGCCACAATGGGGCCATCTGTGAGGCCGACAGGGCCTCAGCACAGCCGGGGACACAAGCAGGCAGCAGACCCTGGAAGGCTCCCTCACTGGAAGTCCTGGGCAGGAGGGGCCCCTGCCCACCCACTCGGCCCAGCCCAGCAGGGCACCTCTCCCAGAGCCAGTCCCTTCTCCCTCTGCCCCAGTAACAGACCTTTCCTCCCAGGAGTGCTGAGTGGCTGGGGGGCGGGGCAGAGGAAACTCCACCCTGATTTTTCATTGTTTTTACAGAAAAGTTAGTTTCTGCCAAAAGGAAAAAATTAAAATGGGAACAGCCTCCCCCACCCCTGGGGAATTGTTATTCTCTTGATTAAACCCTCGCCTGGCCTGGCCACCGATGCTGTGCCTGGCAAATCCTCTCTCCTCCTTGGCTAAAGAAGGGCTTCCCGCTTCCTGCTCAGAAGGCCCAGGCCTTGTTGGAGTTTGAATCCAAAGCAAAAAAGAGGCAGGACCAGTCGGCCTGGGCCTGAGTAGGAGGGGTCCAGAGAGAGGGCCCCATTGCAGAGCCATGGCCCAGGACCAGCTCCGGACCCCACCCACCCCTCTGGACACACAAGTTAAGGTTCTGATTCTGAAAAGCTGTCACTGAGTCTCTGCAGCCCCCAAGGCTCCGTCAGTCCTGAAGTTTATCCTCCCTCCCTCTCCTTGGAGAACCAGCCCACTCGGGCTCACCGTGAAAGCCGCGGAGTTGTGGGCGTCCTATTTTTCCCTTCCGGCCTCCTCTGAGTCGCAGAGCTGGGAGGAGGGGGAAGCCACTCTTGGAGATGGGCCCTCTTCTCCCCTCCTTGGAAGGCCCTGGGGGTAACTGGCTTTTGATCCCCTGCCCCAGCCTGTGGGTGGATGACTGCACCCTGCTGTGCCCAGGCCAGTGTCCCCTCCCAGCCTGGCCCATCTCGGCACATCTGGCTCCCTGCCTGCCTGTCCCAGGCAGGTGATGTCTTCCAGCTTCTGTCTCTGCTATTTGGGGAGGTCAGGTAGGGGTGGGTAGGGTTGATGCCTGGGCCAATAATAAGTTGAAATGCTGGGAGGAGAGGACAGGAGACGTTCACCCCTCCCACCACCTCCAGAGAAATCCAAGGCAGAAGTGAGGCAAAGGCCGACAGGGCTGGATACAGGGCCAAAGGGGAGGGTGCAGGTGTGAGCACTGCCCGCAGCCCATTCTATTTCTGGGCTTGCTGACTGAGCTCCCCACCGCCAGCACCTGCATCTCTTTCCCTGGCCATGAGCGCAGCAGACCGGAAGCGCCAGGGAAGCAACACCTGCCTCCAGCCAAAGCAGCCTCAGTCAAAGCCCAGCAAGGCTTGGTGAATGAATGCCCCAGGTCCCTGGGTCCTGAGAGATGAGCCTCCACCTGCCTTCCACAGGTCCCGGCAGGACTGTGCTCCAGCCGCCTGCAGTGGTAACCCGCTTCACAGCCCACTTTCTGCGTGCAAAGGTCCTTCCCTTCTCCAGCTCATTTCTCACGACCCTGCCTGTGCCCCTGGGATCACCTCCCAAATAAACTACTGGGACTCAAGTATTTGAGTCAGCGTCTGCTTCGGAGGGAATCCAAAATAAGATGGGAGGGGCGGCGATGCTCCAGCCACCCGCTCCTCTATCCTCTTTCACACAAATGTATCCTGCTTCTTTCCTGATGTCCTGCTTAGCGGGGCTGGATTTATCTTCAAAAGTCCTGATTTGCCTCTGATTGAAAACCAATGTGCTCCCTGTGGTCACGGACAGCTGTGTGGGTTTTCGTTTTGTTGAAGGGAATTGGCTCACTCTGAGTCAGCTGTGCACAGGGGCTGCTGATGCAGTCTCGGTGTGATGGTTAAACTTTAAGTGTCAATTTGACTGGGCTAAGGGATGCCAGACATTATTTCTGGGACAGTGTGTGAGGGTGTTTCCAGGAGATTCGCATTTGAATCAGTAAAGATCTGCCCTCACTGAGGTAGATGGGCATCAGCCAATCCATTGAGAGCCAACAGAACACAAAGGCATAGGAAGAGCAAATTTTTCTCTGCTGGAGCGGGGACAGCCATCTTCTCCCACCCTCAGACATCGGACATTGGAGCTTCTCCTGGGCTGATGCCAGCATCTGCCTCCTGCCCCTGCCTCGTTCTCAGGTCTTCGGACCCAGGCTGAGTCATAGCACAGGCTTTTCTGGTCCTCCAGCTTACAGGCAGCATTTCCTGGGACTTCTAGGCCTCCATAGTTGTGTGAACCAATTCCCGTAAGTCGTCTTCTCTTACATATCTCTATATATCCTACTGGTTCTGTTTCTCTGGAAAACCCTGACTAATACACCTGGGCTCCATTGCTAAAAGTATTGTCTCCTTAAGAAGGGAGATGAGAATAACTCACTCTCCTCTACTCTGGCCTGACACCCTCTAGCCCAGGGGTCCCCAGCCCTGGGGGACCACTGGACACTGGAGCTTCAGCAGGAGGTGAGCTATGGGTGAGCGAGTGAAACTTCATCTGTATTTACAGCCACTGCTGATCCTTTGCATTGCCCCCTGAGCTCTGCCTCCTGTCAGATCAGCAGCGGCATTTGATTCTTACAGGAGCACAATCCCTACTGTAAGCTGCATATGTGAGGGATCTGGGTTGCACACTTCTTGTGAAAATCTAATGCCTGATGATCTGTCACTGTGAAAATCTAATGCTTGATGATCTGTCACCATCTCCCATCACCCCCAGATGGGACTGTCTAGTTGCAGGAAAACAAGCTCAGGGCTCCCACTGATTCTACATTATGGTGAGTTGTATAGTTATTTCATTACATTACAATGTAATACTAATAGAAATAAAGGGGACAATCAATGTAATGTGCTTGAATCATCCTGAAACCATCCCCTGCCCCTGGTCCCTGGAAAAACTGTCTTCCATGAAACTGATCCCTGGTGCCAAAAAGGTTGAGGATCACTGCTCTGTCCTATTATTTAGTTTTGGTAAAAGGAGGAACAGGGGAGCAGAGAATAAATCATATTACAGGGAACTAACCAGGAAGGTAAAGGTTGAAATCAGGCTCCTTGAAAAATGATTAGGACTGGAGAAGACAAACTCAGGAGGGACAAAAGCCTCTCTTCAAGAATGCTAGGGGTTACACCACTACCAAGAAAACCGATGCACTTGAGGCTTGGCACGGTGGCTCACGTCTGTAATCCCAGCACTTTGGGAAGCTGAGGCAGGCAGATCACGAGGTTAGGAGTTTCAGACCAGATTGACCAACATGGTGAAACCCCATCTCTACTAAAAATACAAAAATCAGCCAAGTGTGGTGGCACACACCTGTAATCCCAGCTACTCAGGAGGCTGAGGCAGGAGAATCTCTTGAACCCGGAAGGTGGAGTTTGCAGTGAGCTGAGATGGCACCATTGCACTCCAGCCTGGGCAATGAGAGCAAGACTCCATCTCAAAAAAAAAAAAGGAAAAAAAAAGAAAAAAAAGGAAGTAGATGCACTCTGTGGGCCTTGTCTTAGCCCATTTGTGCTTCTATAACAAAACACCCTAGACTATTCTTACAGTTCTGGGGGCTGGGAAGTCCAAGATTGAGGCACCACATTTGGTGTCTGGTGAGGGCTGCTC